CATGTGAGAAACACTGCAACTAGTGAGCTAGTCAACATTCTCACTGGCTGGAGATAGTTATAAAACTAAGCCCACTAGGCCAAAGCTGAGGAAGAGAAAAAAGAAGACAGTAAAACTTAGAAAGAGGCAGGGGGAGAAAAGAGCAAAAACAAAAGGGATGGCAGTTGAGTCAAATGAGACAGAGTGTAGGCAGAGGTGACAATGAGAAGATGGCATGAGAAGATAGAGGAATACTCAGAATAACCATACTAGACTGGGGAAGAAAGACATATGCTTTATTCACACTGACCGTGGGACAGCCGTGAACATTGGAGTATAGGGATGGTACTGACACTCCTGACTCCTGACTCACAGTGACCCATACCAAAAACTGGCTACCCTGAACCAGCCTGAACTCTACTTGCCACTACTGCCTTCTTTTACCTAAATCTTATTCCCTCAGTGGTGCTCTTGGGCCCAGCTTCAATTACTTTCTCTCTACCAGAGATAGAACCCATTCCCTTGCTAAAGCCAACAGAACAATCCTGTCTGCCTGGCCCTGAAAGACTCTTTGCCAAATGGTTATCCTTCACACCCTTCCCCACAGGCCTCAGGAAGGCTCTGACATAGAAAGACAAAAGCAACAGCATCAAAGATGTTTTCCAGCTACATTAAATAGCTGGGCTGAACTGGAGGATGAGCAAAGACTGGCCCAAAGGAAATGAAAAAGAAGATGGGATCACAATCATGAGTTGCTTGTGGGGTGAGAGTGGGAGACCAAGTTAGGTAGAATGTCTGGAAGTTCAACCCTCAAATGAGAATAGTAGGGAGAAGATACACAGCATCTAGGCCAATATCCAAAGTAGGAAAGGAGGAGAAATCAGGCAAACACATACTGACAGCAGAAGGGGAGGCTCTGGAGGAAGCTGATATGTCTTCTAGTTCAGAATACCCCACAAGGGCTGACTTATCAAGGTAAAGGATTACAGAATTAGAATTAAAACTCACTGGGAAGGGCCGAGCCCGTGGCGTGGCGCACTTGGGAGAGTGCGGCACTGGGAGCGCAGCAGCGCTCCCGCCGCGGGTTCGGATACTATATAGGGATGACCGCCGGTGCACTCACTGGCTGAGCGCGGTGCGGCCAGTCTCAAAAAGGACAAAAAAAAAAAACCTCACTGGGAATTTGTTTACTCTGGATACACCTCCTGAGTTTTTACCTTTTCTCTACAAAAACAATGCTATAAATAGTTGCTAGTCATAACAAAAATGGTAAAAATTATGACAATGATGACAATAATACATATGTCAGCACTTCAAGTGCTATTCATTTAACTTCTGCACCATCACCTCCAATTTACAGATGAGGAACATGAGGATTGGTAAAAATTATGACAATGATGACAATAATACATATGTCAGCACTTCAAGTGCTATTCATTTCACTTCTGCACCATCACCTCCAATTTACAGATGAGGAACATGAGGATTAAAGAAGTTATATAACTTGCCACATAATGCCCAAGAAGTAATTGATAAAACTAAAAATTAAACCCAGGAAGTATAACTCTATGCTAACCTACCTCCTCACTATCAGTAAGGTAACTCAAATATCACGGGTCAAACAGACTTTTGTGAACCAATCTAGGATTCACTGTATTAAATATCCAAACTACACATAAGTCTTTGAACAAACCTGCCAGTAATTTAAGGATAAGTTTTCTGCACAGATGATCAAGGGCTCCAGAAACATTTTGTCTCTACATCTCTGTAAGAGGAAGGACCTCTCAATACCGAGAAACTCTTCTATGTAATGCTCCCAGCATCAAACAGATTTTGTACACAGGGGCGAGGTACTTAATAAATGCTTACTGACAATCTAAAGCAGCATGCTCCAGCAGAACTTTCTGCAATGATGGAAATGTTCTATATGTGCACTGTCCAATACACTAGCCACTAGTCACATGTGGCTATTAAGCACTTGAAATGTGGCTAATGTGAATGAGACCTGAATTTTTAATTTTATTTAATTTAAAAAATTTTAAATTTTAATAGCCCATGTAGCTAGATGTGCTGTAGTGAACAGCACAGATTCAAAGCAAACAAGAAACTTCCTGCAGTTATCTTCAGAAGTGGATAAAGCCACCTAGCCAGTATCACTTTTTGAGATGCCCACCTGGACTGTGCTCATAGGGGTTGCTCACTTCTACAATAACCTACTCTACATTTTCAAAATTTACTGATGAGACCATAGACCAAAATTTTAAAACCCTGTACTGTCAAGTTGAAAGACTGGACCTCTCTCTCTCTCTTTCCCTCTTTTTCACACACACACATACACACATGCACACATAAATATTAGCCAAGTCTGGGAAGAGTTATTTCCCAAATTTTGTTTATAAATTACTGAATAATCTTCCAGATGTCTGCAAACAAATCTGAGTTAATTTGTTCCAATAATTTCCCAAAAATCAAAGTTAACAATAAAATTAACTTCCAGGAGATTATCCTTCTCTCCTTTTAAAAAAGAAATCATACTTTAAAAAAAGTATTTAAATACATTAAACAGTTGTCAGCTGGTTCTTAGGAATGACAGATACAGGCATTAAAAGACAATCTATGCTCATATCTTTTCATCTGTGGTTTTAAAATAATCTAATATTTATCACTCCTGAGAAAAGAGACTCAAGAATGACTAGGGTAGATTCAACTTAAAACTATGGAAAACCCTATTATTCAAGATTGCCATTCCTGATTTTGAAATGTGGCTGTGCCAAGCCCTTGCCCAGGCTAATCTAATGAACTCTAACCTAGCTCTGCTGCTTGAACCCATGTTTATGACCAGAAGGAAGAAAGAAATGAGAGAAAGACAGCAAGCTAAGCTCTACTTCACAACTTCCAGCCACAAGTTTCTGAAGGAAAATATAAGTCAGGGTCCTCTCAGGGATCTCCCTCCTCTACTCTCTTCACCTTCATTGTGGGAACTGAGGCTCTCCTTTTAAGAAGGGGCTCTAAACCTCTTTTTCCAATATGTCTAATGTATCTAATATCAATCTTCACATACCCATGCTGAAAGGGTTTTTTTTCAAAGCAGAGATTTGCTTTTATTAACAAATAGTTTTATTGCAACAAAACTGTTAATATGATTTTTACTTTTTCCAATTATTTGGTATTCAAAACTAGAACTGTAACCATATTACAATAAATTTAGACCTAAAGCAGTGTGGCTATTTGGGGCAGGATTTTCTTTTTCTTTTTAAAAATTCAGTATATTTGAATAGAAAGTATATTCACAGGTTCAAAACTCAGAAAATATAAATAAAGTGTACGTATATGCTATGAAAAATCTCCCTCCCATTGCTGTCCCCAGCCACCCAGTTTCCTTCCCCATAGGCAACTGATGTTACCAGTTTTTTATAAATCTTTCCAGAGATACAGTAGCAGATACTGTTGGTACCCCTCCCAGATTCCCTTTACCAGGCCAACCAGCTACTGCAGATGCCAGCTGCTAAAGGGTCACATTTGCACTTTTTCAGGAGAATTGCTGTGTGCTCTTCCCCCAACCCCACCAATAAAGGGTTGCAGGGCAGGGGGAGGGCTATAAAAGCCCAGGCCCCTTGCATCTATGGTACCAGTCAGGCTCTCCTGAAACATCATCTTTGCCCAGCTTATTCCCTGCCCTATATTGCTTCCCTCACTCCCATATAGATTTCTCCTTAGAGTACTCTCTCAATAAAATACTTGCAGACTTGCAGATGAACCCGTATTTCAGAGTCTTGTTTTTTGGGAACTCAATCTAAACAGATCTTACACACAAACTATGGCCTACTTACTTATGTATTATTCCCCTATCACCATTTTTTACATAGACAGTGCCTGTTACAGACATTGTTCTGTAGCTTGCTTTTGTTACGTAATATATCTTGACAAGGTTTCCATATCTTACATAAATAGTTGCCTCATATTTTTCCACAGGTACATGGTGTTCTATTGTATATCTATATATTACAGTTTACTTAACCCATCCCGTTTGAGAAATATTTAAGTGGTTTCTAATCTTTTACTATTATAAATAATGCTGCAATATATATTCACCATTTCCTAAGTATGTGAGGGACAAATTCCTAGAAATGAAACACCTAGATCAAAGGGCATGTGCATTTGTAATCAGAAGAGATACTGCCAATTTGTCCTGTATAGGGAATGTACTAACGTGCCTTTCAATGAGCAATATAAGAAAGTGCCTTTTTGTCATAGCCACATCAGCACAATGTATTATCATACTTCATGAATCTTTGTCAATTTCATAGATAAAAAATGGTATTACATTGTAGTATTTGTATTTCTCTTATTATGAGAGAGGTTGAACATCTCTTTATATCGTTAAAAGCTATCTGTAATTCTTTTTCTTTGGCGTATCAGTTGATATCCTTTATCCATTTTTCTCTTGTTTGGTTGATTATCTATTTATCATTTACAGGTCTTTACATATTTCTATTATATAATGATTATCCAAGAATATAAAGGATAATTCAAAATGTTATCTATGACACCATGCTTATTTAAAATTCCACATATAACTAAGACTTACTTACTTTTTTAGTTCTGGAATCTCTGCTGGCTTTACAATTTTTATTAACCCTTTAAGTCTCTGTTGTTCTTTCCTTAGTTCAAAAGTTCTCAGGTGAAGTTTCTTCCGGGACACACCATCTAATGCACTCCCTGATTTCATTTCTGACATGAATGCATCTAAAGAATCCTGAGATGGTGACTCTGATAGAGCTGTCCAAGAAAGGGATGATACATGTTTAGAAAGATGGCTCCAAATAGTTTAAAATTCAGCCAAGGGTTCCATAGAGAAGTCACTAACATAAAGCTGAACAGAGGACATTACTGATATTAGGAATAATGAAACAGGTTACAGCTATGAGATCTTGGGAAGTCACTTTGTCTCAATGAGCTTCATTCCCCTCAACTATTAAATAAAGAGGTTAGCCAAATCATTTGTACTGTTCTTTCTAGCTCTGAAATGCTATGTTGCTCCTTAGAAAGGCTTCATATTCTGTATGCTATATCTTATTAGCCAATGTAGCCTTATTGTCTCAATGAGCTTCATTCCCCTCAACTATTAAATAAAGAGGTTAGCCAAATCATTTGTAATGTTCTTTCTAGCTCTGAAATGCTATGTTGCTCCTTAGAAAGGCTTCATATTCTGTATGCTATATCTTATTAGCCAATGTAGCCTTCATGCCTAGCATAGTGCACTATATGAGTACATGGCAGGTACTCAATAAATATTTGATGAAAGCCTTACCTTTGCTTGAGGCTTTTAGCCTCTCAGAAATTTCAGAGAGTTCCCTTTCAGCATCATTTAACTTTGCAACCTGTAACACCCAAATCAACAGGGTTAGCAAATGTTTTTCTTCTTTTACCCTATGTCACCTTATCACCCTTCTCTTATTTTCACTATTGTTACTACAAGTTTTAAGAGGATTAATTCAGAAGTCCAGTTAAATATGCTCCTTATGGAATTAAAAGTATAATTTATTTAATAGTAATTAAATTAATTTCTGAATTAAAGAATTCAGAATTAAACAGAATAAATAATCCAGACTTTATTTTACTCAAAGACAGAGCTCAAAGCATTTATTTTCACTGATGAATCAAAAGGATAGATTGTGGGTTAATGTTTTAGTTCTGAATATTACTAAATATAGTGCATGCCACCTTATGATAATTTCAGGAAGGATATAGTGTTTCAGACTATTACCACTCCATACTCCTCCAAATTCCTTTGATTCCTCTCGACTATCAAAAGCCTAAAGTCAGTTTAACCTCAGATTGTCCCAACCTGGAACTTTTTCCTTTCTTTTTTTGGAAGTAATTTCACATCCAAGCATGCTCATTAATGAACTGACCTGGATAAACGTATGTAGTAGCAAGCCAAATTTTTTTCCAACAACTTATAAGACTAGTTGTTTGTTACCATTAAATGTACAGATCACAAAAGTACCAGATCTCAATGCTACTGCTTTAAAAATTTGCCGGACACGAAAAAAGACAAAAAGGAAAAAAGAAAAAGATAAATGAGAAACAGGAAGAAAGAAAATTTGAAAAAGAAAAATGAAAGCAAGTGCTGGCCAGTTAGCTCGCTCAGTTAGAGTGTGGTGCTGATAACACCAAGGTCAAGGGTTCGAATCCCATTACCAGCCAACAACAAAAAAAGTTAAAAAATGAAAAGCAGTTTGCAGAAAAAATACAAATGGCCAAACGTTTGAAAAGATGTTAAGCTTTTAAAAGATAGCAAAATACAAATTAAAAAATGAGATACCACTTCTCATGTATTAGACTGGAAACAAATAAAAAGATTAATAATGTGCAGTTTGGCAAGGTTTGGGGGAAATAGATTTTTAAACAGTTGGTAGAAATGTAAATTGACACAATCTTTTTGATGGTCAATCCTACAACATCTGTCAACATTAAAAATGTTCCAGCAAGGGCTGGCCCGGTGGCGCACTGGAGAGTGCGCTGCTTGGGAGCGCGACGGCGCTCCCGCCGAGGGTTCGGATCCCATGTGGAGACCGGTTCCTGCTCACTGGCTGAGCGCGGTGCGGGTGCAACACCGAGGGTTGCGATCCCGTTGCCGGTCCCCGGTGCGGGCGTGACGCCGAGGGTTGCGATCCCGTTACCGGTCAGTAAAAAAGACAAAAAGGAAAAAAAAATGTTCCAGCAATTCCACTTCTAGGAATTTATCCTACAGATAGCAGTACAACATTGTTTATAATAGAAAAAATGTGTAGTCCATCAATAGTGAATTACAGTAGCTATTACTTTTTTGTCTGCCCTACACCATTCTACTCCCCTTGTGCTGGTAAAGTACATCTTTCCTCTAGAAAATTCCTTCCCCATTTCATCTGGTTTAGGGGTAGCCATGTGACCAAAGCCGAATCAATAAGAATCCTCCCCTCATATTTATATTTAGTTATTTATTTTATTTTTGGCAGCTGACCAGTATGGGGATCTGAAGCCTTGACCTTGGTGTTATAACACTGCATTCTAACCAACTGAGCTAACTGGCAAGCTCCTCATTTTGTATTTAGATATAGGGGAAAAGAGGATCTTTTTCCAAAGAGGTTATTAAAGTTGAGAGGATATAAATACAGGCCTACAAGCAATCAACTTTTCTGCATGGAGTAAGAATCTGTCTGAAAAATAAAACCATGCACTCATGAGACAGACTCACACAGCTCATATGTGTCCTGGTGATACTGAGTTTAGTTTGGCAGTACTAAGTTCTGGTTTCAGAACTTGAGGTCCTGGCCCATACAGTTCTTCCTTTAATCCCATGATCTATTCTTCTGAGCCTCTGAAGCCAATAACCATTCCCTCTAAGCTAGCCTGAATTGGGTTTCTATTATTTGCAACCAAAATAGTCCTCCTTAATATAAGACTGATAGGTTAAGATTGAACATACATATACAATTTCACTCTCTCCCCAAATCCCACTAAAATCATAGTAAAGAGATCTTTTAAAAAGGGCCGGCCCGGTGGCGCACTCTGTAGAGTGCGGCGCTTGGGAGCGCGGTGGCACTCCCGCCGAGGGTTCGGATCCCATATAGAGACCAGTCCGCTCACTGGTTGAGCGCGGTGCGGGCGCGACACTGAGGGTTGCGATCCCGTTGCCGGTCACGGTACGGGCGCGACACTGAGGGCTGCAATCCCGTTACTGGTCACAAAAAAAAGACAAAAAAAAAAAAAAGAGAGATCTTTTAAAAAGACATCAAATCACAAAGACAGAGAGAACAGCAACCTAAATTTTCGGAAATTAGAAGCAGACAGATGAGTGGAAACTAAGCAGAACTAAAAAATATGAATCCTAAACCAACACTAGGGAAATATGATTACACTGCAGAATCCTCAAAAAGACCTGGAACTGGGGATAGATAGTAGTGTTAAAATAAGGAGGGCTGAGTAAAAGTTGGTTGAGAAATGGATCCTCCTCCCTGCCTACTCACTACCTCCCCACCCCCAGGAGAAATTCAGAGGTTAATCTCCAGAAAGGGTAAAACAGAAAATCTTTGGACTGTGGGTTGACTGGTACAGTTAAGGGCATGGGCACTAATGCAAAAACAGTACTGTCCTGAAAATAGCTGAATGCTGAGAACTGGCTTAGCCATCTTCCACCATCTAGCTCTAGGAATGTTGACAGCCAGTTCTTTCCTTTCAGGCAAGAGATTGGAAGAGTACTTCCTAGAGGAATCTTGCCCATAAAGGAGAAAAACTGAGGGATACTTATATCAGAGGTTCCCCAACAAAAGGCCCACCCACATCATTCTATAGCATTGCTCAAAGTCAACAAACCCCACCTATATATTCCAAGCTTCAATCACCTTTTTCATCCCCAAATAAAAATCTACAATCAAGGATTGCATGACACCTGAGAAAAACGTCTCACAGGCAGGATATAGCCCAAACAAAAAGAAAAACTAACCTGGAGAAAACAAAGATGAGATATTTACAATCCATGAAACAACAGGATATATGTTTTAAAAAGGACTGTTAGGGCCGGCCCGTGGCTCACTCGGTAGAGTGCGGTGCTGAAAACACCAAGGCCATGGGTTCGGATCCCATATAGGGATGGCCGGTTCACTCACTGGCTGAGCGTGGTGCTGACAACACCAAGTCAAGGGTTAAGATCCCCTTACCGGTCATCTTTTGTAAAAAAAAAAAAAAAGGACTGTTAAAGAATAAAAATAAACTTTTAGAAATTAAAACCTTGATGGCAAAACAAAGATACTGAAAGATAAAGTTGCAGAAATCCCCCAGAAAGAACAAAGAGTCACAGAGATGGAAAAAAGAAGAAAAAAAAAAAAAGAAATTTAGATGCTCAGTCCAAGAGGTCCAACATCTGAATAATAAAATTCCAGAGAGAAGATGAGGGATAAAACAATTAATAGCTTAATTGCAGAAATGTTCCTGAACTGCCAAGATTTCTATATCAAAAGGACCCAACAAGTACCCAGAAAAATAGACAAAAACAGACCCAAAGAAAGTACATCATAATTAACTTTAAGAACCTTTAGTATAAAAGGGAAACTCTTACAAACTTCTAGCAAGGTGGAAAAAAAAGAATAGCATACAATACTGGGGTTCTTCAAAAAGTTTGTGGAAAAATAGAATTGAAAAACAATATGAATCCTTCCATGAACTTTTTGAAGTACTGTCATAGGTCAGAATCTGAACAGTTTAGGACTTCTCATTAGCAACACTGGATGTAAGATGATAAGAGCAATGCCTTCAAAGTGGTGAAGGAAAATTATTTCCAACTTAGAATTCTATTCCCAGCCAAACTACTAATCAAGACTGAAGCTATAATAATTATATTTTCAGAATGAAAGATTTAATAAATTTTACTTTCTATACATTCTTTCTCAGAAATCTACTAGAGGATGTCCACCAAAACAAGAAAGTAGACCGAAAAAAATGAAAGATATGAAATCCATTGAAGACTATAATTACCCATGCCCTCTGGTGTTGTGCTAACTTTTTAACCTGCCCAGGCAGTTGTGCTCCACTAAAACAATGGAATAAACCAAGAAATATGAAAAAATACAAGAATCAAGAAAAAGAAAATCCGACCTTGTTCAGATCCCTGTACCCACCAGCCTACCAAAAAGAAAAACCACCCCTGGAGAAAGGCCAAGGAAATCTCAAGGTCAACAGCAAAATCAAGTTCCAGATAACACTTTTTTTTTTTTTTTTGTCTTTTTCTTTGACACGGCGGCACCGTGCTCAGCCAGTGAGCGGTGACCGGCCATCCCCATATAGGATCCAAACCCGCGGCGGGAGCGCCTCTGCGCTCCCAGCGCCACACTCTCTTGAGTGCGCCACTGGCTCGGCTCCAGATAACATTTTTGGAAAGCAATAAGCCCTAAAAGGAGAGTAATACTCTTTAGGAGAAATATCTCAAAAAAAAAATCGGGAGAATGCGGCGGCGCTCCCGCCGCGGGTTCGGATCCTATATAGGGATGGCCGGTGCGCTCACTGGCTGAGCGCAGTGCAGCGGGTCACAAAAAGGACAAAAAAAAAAAATCGGAAGTAAGAAGTGACAGATTACTTAATGTTGTTGATCATATGAAAAAACATACTGAAAAACTATTTGAAAGGTGTGGGAAGAACAAGCAATAAGTGCAAAAACAGGAAAAAAAAGCCAAACACATGAAAAACAAATACAATTACCACCTTTAGAAAAAAACAAAAAGAGCTCTCTGCTCTGCCATTTTCTGCCATGTGAGATCCCTGCATTGCTGTAAAGCCACCACCAAAGAAGACTCTCACCAGATGTGTTCCTAGACTTTGTACTTCCCAGCCTTTGAAACAGACAAAAGCCTAGGATTTTTGAATTGGGGAATGAATGGAGGCCATCTATTTTAACTTTCTACAAATGTTAATCGCATCCTTCAACATCCTTTATTAATGAATACTTGATCTCTGAACATTTCAAATTTATTCTGAAAAGTGATTGGTCAGCCTGAACAGAAGGTTTATTCTGGTTGCTATCCTGGGATGAAATAAAGAGCCTGCTCATGCTTGCAGTTGTGAAGATTGGGGAAGTGGTAGTACAGGCATTAAACCACATGTCCACGGGCTCCCCATTCTCCAGTCAAGGATTTTACAGATACAGACTTAAAGCTCTGAAGATGCACTATCTGTGTGATTCCTAACTCCTCTACTGACTAGCCAATGTGATTTTTACACGTTTCTTAACCACATTGTGTCTCGGTTTCCTCAAATGTAAAATGGAAATAATACTGTACAATTTAAATGAGCTAACACATATCAAATGTTTAGCAACCGCCTGCCATTCAATGAGTATTCACTATGATCGACTGCCAACAGATTGTCTTCTGTGTTCTGTTTTTAACTGTTCAGAATTTGGGTATAGTAAACAGTAGTGTCTTTTGTTGACCCCTGATTCCCTACATTTTTTAGAGCAATATCAAAAATAAAAAAGTGGGAAAAAAAGGAAAAGAGATTAAACCTACACCATAAGAATATGCTTGAGAAAACTGTTGAGAAATCATAATCTAGAGGAAGAAAAGGAAACTAAATATAGGCCAGTTCCTGTGTTTTCAGCTTTTTTTTCTACATTATCTAATTAAATACAATAAACCCTGGCTCTAGTCATTAGTTTGGGAACGGATGGTAGATCTACTCAAGGCTTGGCTGATTTAAAGATCTGTTTTTCAAACTCTGCAGAATATTTTAATCCAACTTCTACCAAAACACTGCTAACTTATTACTTAAGGATGCAGGAATCACTTTCTGCCAAGACTATGAAAAAGAATGTTTCTTCCAGTACTGAGTTGAATTTTCTCCCCCTATAAAACCTACGCACTAGTTTTGGGGTGGGGTGGGGGAAGATACTACTGCATAAGAAATCATTTGTCAAGAGAAATTCACACATTTATCAGCAGGAGTTTCTGAAATAATCTAGCAATCACATCAAAAAAAGAATTTACAAAGAGGAGTGGCTACCCTATATTCTTCAAGTTTCACAAATTATATTTCTGTTGGTTAAACCCATTGATGAATTTTAGTTGAAGATATAAATGGAAGCAAAAAAATGAAGAAGGGGAAGTTGTTCATAAATAAGTAAACAAGTAGGGCAATCATAACATAAAAACACAATGATCATGTCATCTGAGGATAAAGATGGTTTAATTTCTTTCTCTTCAAATGTCTTATTGTTCCTCTCTGCCATCTTGCAGGAGCTTATACTTGCAGTACTATGTTGAGCAGGTGTAGTGAGAGAGGATATAGTTGCTTTGTTCCTGCTCTTAGGAGGAAAGCATCCATTGATCCTACAGGTCAAGTATGACGCCACCTGTAGGTTTTTTGGTAGATGGACTATATCAAGTTGAGAAAGTCCCATCTATTCTGAGTTTGCTGAAAGTTCCTAGCATAAGTGGGTATCAGATTTTGTCAAATATTTTTGGCATCAATTAATATGATCAAGCAATTTTTTAACATTTCATGTTGATTTGTTGTATTACACTAATTGATTTTCTAATTCTGAAGCAGCCTTTCATTCCTGGACTTAATGCCACTTGGTCATGGTGGATAACTACAAGTATTTGTATACATTGTTGGATTGAAAACTTTATTGAGGATTTTGTATAGGTCTGTAATTTTCTTTTCTTGCAATGTCTTTATCTAATTTGGGTATTAGGATAACACTGGCCTCATAGAATGAGTTTGGAAATGTTCCCTCTACTTCTGTTTTCTGAAAAAAAACATTATTGACTATTGATACTATTTATTCCTTAAACATTTTGTAGAATTCATAATTGAAACACTGTGTCAGGTACTTTCTTTTTTTGTAAGTTTTTAAATTAGACAATTTATTTAACAGATAGAGGGCTATATTAGTTCATTTTCTGTTGCTTATAACAGAATACCTGAAACTGGGTAATTCGTAAAGAAATAAAATTTATTTTGTACAGTTTTGGAGGCTGGAGAGTCCAAAGTCAAGGTACACATCTGGTGAGGGCCTTCTTAGTGGGGAGTCTCTATAGAGTCCCGTGGTGACTCAGGGTGTCACATAGCAAGGAGGGGGAACAGCATCTTAAGGTGCTCACCTGTTCTCCTTATAAAGCCACCAGTCTACTCCCTAGTAACCCATTAAACCATTAATTCATTAATCCATGAATATTCATGAAAGCATAATCCTCATGACCTAATCACCACTTCAAATATCATATTGGGGATTAAGTTCCAAATGAGCTTTGGAGGGGACAAACATTCAACCCATAGTAGGCTATTCATGTTATCTATTTCTTCTTATGTAAGTTTTAGTAGTCTGTGTCTTTCAAAGAATTGGATCATTTCATTTATCCTATTAAATTTGTGACCATAAAAAAACAAAAAACAAAAAGAAATAAAACCACTCAGGTGTGACTAATATTTGCAAAAGCATAATCATGTAAATACTAAATACTAATTTAACAGAGTCAATAGGTAATATCCCAAATAAATGACTCAAATATATAACAGCATACTCTTGTTTCTTAGAAATATGGGAATTTTTAATGCCAGAAGAAATAACTGAAAAAGTTCAAAGCTTCTAGGGATGAGGATTGAGGAGGGGTAGGGCAAAGAACAAGTATATTTTCTTATAAGCCTATCAGTAGTTTTAAACCAGACATAAGTTACTTTATAATAATAAAGTTTAATTTTAGAATAAATAAAAATATAATATATGCCCTCTTAATACATGATGGTATAGCCAGACATTTTTTTAAACAAGGTAAATCTAATGTATTGATATGGATAATACCCCTGACACATTCTTATGTTAAAATAGTGAGTTACAAAAGACTCTACGTAATATAACTGCATTTGTGTATGAGTGCATGTGTGTTTTTTGTTAAAGGATCTAGATCTAAACCCACATTTATATATGCATAGAAAATACCTGGGAGAATATAAACAATGGCTAACTTAGGGTACTGAGAGAGGGAATTTTTTCTTTTCATTTGAAAGAATTCTGTATAGTTGACATATTCCTCCTATGAAGAGATTTTATTACCTTTTGTGTTAAATTTTCCTTCTTTCTTTTCTTTTGTTTTTTGGTTTTTGGTGGCTGGCCGGTATTGGGATCCAAACCTCTGACCACAGTGTTATCAGCGCCATGCTCTCCTAAGTGAGCTAACCAGCCAGCCCTCTTTTTTTTTTTTTTTTTTAAAGAAAAAAAGGATTCCCATATACTGACCTGCTTCCTGCCGCAGCAATCCTAAAGTGTCAAGGATCCGGCAAGCTTCCAGTGAGCACTGGATCATTGCTTCTTTTTTCTTTCCTGAGTGAATGGCCTCAGCCATGAGTTGTTTCCCAGTTGAATCATCCACAGGTAATCTGCATTGGTTTGGCAGGAATAAGAGCACACACTAAGCTCCAGTACTCATGAAAACAACTTATATGCTGTGATAATAGTCATTTTTTTATTCTTATTTTTAATTTAATCTTTATTTCTAGTCATGTTTTTTTAGATGGCTTTTCAATCTCTCAGTTCATTTTGTTCTATCTTGTGAAGGCTGGACTTCAAATCTTTTCCTTCCACCTCTTACCCATCCCACCCTATCCTTCAATAATATAAGTGATACTATACTATAAAGGCCAAAATTTAGGAATAGCCTAAAATTAAGACTGATGTTACTCTTTTGGTTGTCGTCTATAACTGTAAATTAAACCTGAAATTCGCCTTTCCAGAAATGTACATTAATAAGAAAAGAACATACCTCACCCTGCACAGCCAAGTACTATGCCCCTGTTCATCAAATTCATATTCTAATTCTTCTCCTGTGGGAGGAAGAAAGACAAAACAATTTGAATACGATCAACTACATGATACAATGAGAAAAGAGATCAAAGGCTAAATAAGAACATCTAGTTCCCGTACCACACCAAATACTAAATTTCAATGCATTTCACTTCTCATTCCTAGGAATTATCATCTAATAATAAAATCAGAATGAGTCTGAGAAAAGCAGATTCAGATCAAAACAATCAATTCTCTATACCTAGTTTTGTTCACTGTATAGTAGCTTTCACACTTTTTGTAAGTTGTAGACTTAAGTGGTTTTTTGTCACAGTTGCCTGGTTTTTAGAAGCATAAATATTAAGTATACAAAACAACCAGTTCATATATATATGCATACACAAATATATACATGCACATAGATGTTCTTTACTATATCAGTCCTCAGAATCTTTACTAAAACAACCTTCTGTGAAAAAAATTTCCATGTTAAGAATTACAGCGTGCGCTCACAGAGCCAGGCCCAGGTGCTGTGTGGCGGGGGAGGGGAGAATAGAATTACAAAAAATCAAGTGAATTGGGAATTACAAATTACAAGAAGTTGGCTCAATTTCCCCATCACCCAAATCCAGGATTTTCTGAGAATGAGATAAGTCAGGAAAAAGTTCTTCCTTTTTTCCAAGATGGGGAGACAAAATTATTACTACTTTCAAAATAAATCTGAAGCAGAAATAAATCTGACCACAATGGCAGGATCTGAGTAAGGAGACCACAAAATAAATCTGACCATAATGGCAGGATCTGAATAAGGAGAACGGTAGATAAAGTATAGCATTTGTAAGTATAAAGTTCAAAGTGAAGTTCTAGAAAACAACTTGCTGTGGATACATTTTACTAGTAGGGCCAGAATCTTACATACCTTCTCGGTCAAAAAAACCTTGGAGAGCCTTTTTTGGATCCTTTATGTAAAAGGCCTCCCTTTCCTGCTGAAACTCTAAGACGATGGGGTTCTCTTCAGCCTCATCCTCTACAGCATCTTCTCCTAAAGGATATAGAAAGAAAGGAAAGATAATCAGATGTGAGAAGAGACTATCTGAATGATGCCCCCTATCCTTTCAGGCGGCATAATGATACAGATATCTGTGATGAAAAGAAAGATACTTGGGGGGCGGGGAGTGAAACAACTACAAAACCACCAGTATGAACATCTTCAGGTTTTCTAAATTATTTTCTAAAACATGCTTTCATGGCACCTTAGTTTTTTTTTTTTTCTCCATCGCTACATTTTAAAAGCAAAATTACCTACCACATTGTAGGAAAAAAATCTGAGATCCTCCGCCTGGCATTCTCATTCCCTCAGACCCAGGTCTAATACTTTGTCTCCAGTATGAATTCCTAATATTTCTCATGTCTTCCAAATATACTGGTCTACTCATTACGCCCTTAAAATCATCAGTCTCTGCCCTGAATACCAATCCCAGTGCTCAGCTTCATAAAGGCTACTTTTCCTTTCTTTTCCCTCAAGTCCCAGCAGAAAACCATTCCCCTCATGAGCTTATAAAGTTTCCCAAAGATCTAAGTCAATGTCATCCAACAGAAATGTAATGAAAGCCATAAATGTAATCTGAAATTTTCTATCAGCCACATTAAAAAAATAAACAGGTGAGGGCCGGCCACATGGCGCACTCAGGAGAGTGCGGCGCTGGGAGCGCAGCAACGCTCCCGCTGCGGATTCGGATCCTATACAGGAATGACCGGTGCACTCACTGGCTGAGTGCGGTGCAGGTGACACCACACCTTACGGGTCACGAAAAAGACAAAAAATAAAATGAACAGGTGAAATTGCCATTTCAACATGTAATCAATATAAAAATATCATGAATTAGATATTTTACAATTCTTTTTCACACTCTTTGAAATTCTGTGTGTATTTTGCACTTCAGCCCATGTCAGTTTGGATTAGCCACCCTGCAAGTGCTCAGTAACCAGTGACTCAGTAACTACCATATTGGACAGCACAGGTCTAAGTCCTCAGTGATTGCTCCCTTCTCTGAACCCTTACTCTTGCATACTTATGATTTCTGGCTTTTGTTTAGCACTTAGCACAAGTAATTTCATAATATTTATCCTGTCTTCCCAACCACATTAAGGCCATTTTCTATCTTTCTATAGTCCTATCTCCTAAATATCCATCCTCCAAAATGTCTGTTGTTATGGCAAATTCAACTTATTCTTTTTCTAAGATGAATAGCTTTCTGATTAGATTTTCCACATTTCAGGTTATTTTCACAAAGTACAAAAAATTCAAGAGAATATCCCACATTGAATAACATTCCATTTTATTTGATTGAATGTAGTTCCACCTCCTCCAGTGATAATCATACAGCACAAGGTCAGCACTTAATTAATAAATATCTTTAAATGGTGAAAATAAGTTAATGGTATGCTGAAAAGAGTTTTGAACAAAATGCATTAAAGACATTAAAAGAAATGCATAGTGCCCATAATTCAATTTTTTTAAATGTAATTTTATTATTTTTTACATTCTAGGATGTTGTTGTGGAGCAGTTGGGAGGGAGGGGGAGGGGGAAAGGGGAAGGAAATTGGATGGGAGGAGGAGGAAGGAGGAGGGGTGGGATTGAGGCCGGTGGCATCCCCCTCATTCCCACAGGGGAGACCAGGGAGCTTCCAGCGGTGGCTTGGTCATTGCCAGGCTGGGTGCAGATGTAAGGGGGGTGTAGCAAAAACCCTCGCCCCCCCACCGTCCCAGCTCAGGAACTCGGGGCACTTCTTGCTGCCATTCGGTGGTCACCACTGGGCTGGCTGCGGGTGTGAGGGGAGTGTGACTGAGGCCCGAGGCCCCCCACCACCCCGGCTCGGGGGGTCGCCGCTGGAGTGGCGGCAGAGGCGGGGGGAGCGTGGCCTAGGCCCAAGGCTCCCCACTAATTCAATATTTTTACATCCAGTAAAGTCAATGAATCTCTCTGGGCTTTGGCTACCTCGTGTGCAAATTGTGTTTCCCCTATATATCTCAAAGAGTCATGAAAAGTTGTATGACAAAAAAACATTTAAGGGTACCATTAGTCATGAACTCAAACTATTAACCTCTGGCAGCAATTTTAATTTCTTACCCATTCCCCAGGTGCAACCCATCTCATCATCTTGGCTACTAGTATTTCTCTTCCTTTCAGTGGTATCCATTTGCTCTTCTTCATCTGAGTCTTCTCCTAGCATCTTCTTCTCTAACATTTGTTGCTGCTTGCGCAAATCCTTCAACTGCGTTACTGTTAACTCGGATTCTGCCTCTCTGTCCTCCTCTGGTCCCTGATGAATCAAGCCAAAAAGACTTTTTTAGAGTTCAGGATTGTGGAAGTTACTTTCAGAAATATGGCAATGTGTGCAGAGGTCTGCAGATGAGGGGCCAAAATGACTCCTCCACTTTTGTAATCACTGAGTGGGAGAATCCCCTTCCTCATCGGAGCGCTCCTGAGATTCCAATTCTAGGTTTCTCTACTTACCTGCAGGATAAAGAGCCGGGTGCTGCCTCCAAAGCGAAGAACATGCCCGACATGGACCCGACAATAGGTCCGGGGTGGGATTCGAGTTTTGTTGAGAAAAGTGCCATGCGTGCTTCCCAGATCGTAGAGGTAGAAGCCCGGCGCCTGGCCTTCGCATTCTCCGTCGGGGCCGGACGCCCTGTGCTGCAGCACGGCGTGGTACCGAGACACCGAAGGGTGCTCCAGGCACAGATCGCAGCTAGACAGCCTCCCGAAAAGGCAGCAACTCGTCCCTTTTAAGCTACGGGTGCCAAGGATGGTGCCGCCTTTCAGAGTCTCTAGACTGTAGGAGGCCGTGGCCGGGCCGCCCCATGGCGGCTCTCGGTAGGGGGGAGCCCGGGCCGGCTCGCCAGCGGAGGAACCCGCTGTTTGGGAACACGGCTGCTTCTCCTGTGAACTAGTCTCCTCGCTGTCCGGCCCAGGCGGCGGGACTTCGGGTTCCAGGGAATCCGGGTCCAGCAGCGCCGTAGGCCGTTCCTTCTTCACTTCCTCAGGGTTTGAGGGACTGGTGGCCCGGACTTTACCCCGCACAGACGGGGGCACCGGCAGGGCTGGCTTCTTGAAGTCGCCACTGGGTTCGTGGGAGGCAGACCGCTCTGACTGAGAGGGAACCTCAGCCATCTTCAGGCCGTGCGGTCTCGAAATCTGTTCCTACGAAACTGCACCCTTTGGTCTCTACGTTCCTCTCCGCGTCTCCCTCTCCCTAACTCCCAGCGACATCTTTGGGAAGCGATGGTAAAGTTGTTTCTTCACGACCCAGAGCGTGTGAAGTGATGGGTAACACAGGAAGGTCATAAGAAAAGCAAACAAAAAGGCCGTCGGGGTGCTGTGCAGAATGGGGACATCTTTAGAGGTTGCAACAGGATTGCAATAACTTCCTGTGGTATAGCCCGATTGCGAAAAGCGCTTCCGGTAGCCTTGGCCCACTAATCAACAAACCGGCCTCCCGGGCCTGACGCGACCCTCACCTCGGGCCTCTCGGAGTCCGACAGCCGCCCAGCTGACTCCTGCGACGCGGCAGTGAATAGTGGCGCCTCCTTGCCTCGGTTGAGGGCCAGACCTCCCCATCTGCCGGCTACCCTGGACATCAGGCGACCCCCTGACCCTGTGATTGGCGCCTGCGCCTGCTGACCGTGACCGAGGAGCCCCCCGGAAGGACTTGGGTATTCCTTGGGCTCGGTGCCTGTTCTTCGTGCTCTTTTAGGGGAAGTTAGGGAAGAGGGCGATCTTTTCTGCTAATTACTTCGTTAATTCGTTTTTTTCTTTCCGAATCTAATTATTGAGGCAGCATAGTTTAGTGGTTAAAACTGAAGACTTCTGGAGCCTATCTTGATTTTCGCCCTTGCCATTTGTGACATTGGGCAAGACACTGGGCCTCAGCTTCCACATCTGAAAAACGGGGATGATAATAATATCTACTTCATAGTGTTTTGGGGAGAATTAAATTAAACAATAAAGGTGAAGCCGACATATAGTAAGCACTCGGTAAATGCCAGGTTTTACTATGTGCTGGATGCTGTACAAGATCATGGCCATAAGTTTAGATGGGAGAAAAAAATACATTGAGATAAGTACTAGTTAAAATCCGGGTATAAATGCTGTAACAGAGACATGAAAAGTGCTGTGAGAATGTAAGGAAAGGAGATGTAGTGGGCAAGTGATAGCGGTGGTGACTGAAGCTGTATTTAATGAATTCAAGTCTGCCAGGATGTGGGGGGTGACAGAGCATTTCTGGTAGAGATCACAGTTTAAAGGGTTAACTGTGTAAATGCATGGCATTCTCAAGAAACTGAGCAGTATGATATTGTTAGAACTAAGGTGATCATTTCATCCAGGAAGCTTCTCCTTTGTGCTTCCACTGAGGTCTATGCCTCTAGAAAAGCACTTACCACATACTTTCATATTGAAATATTCTATTTCTCGCCCTCACATCAGGACAGGGATCTTGCATTATTGGTCTTTATCTTTTTGCAAAGTGGCTGGCATTTGAAGAATGTTGAACTTGAAGAGACATATGGGCAATGCATGGAAAGGTAGGTTGAAGCCAGATTGTGAATTTTGTTGAATGGCAAGCCAAAGAATTCTGACTTTTTCTAATAGGCAATAGGAAGCCATTAGATTTGAGTTTTAAAAAGGTTAAGTAGCAGCAATGTGGAGACTAGACTAGATACAAAGAGAGACTAGAGGAAGGGATGCCAGTCAGAAGGCAGCAGAACTCTCTCATATTCTTCCCTATATATGTCAGAAGTTGAAAGCAAAAGACCATTTAGATGAGTGATTCAAAATTTTTCCACCAGGACCAGTTAAAAGGCTCCCATTGTCTGACACACAGAATAAGAACCACCTGTTACTATCTTTAACTCTACTCCCCTTTCTCCAATTGATCCAGCACAGATGTATCTATCAAAATACTCTGAGAAATTCTCCAGGCCTTATATTCAAGTATCATGCCTTGCAAATTGTTCACGATTGGGCATGATGGTAGTTCTGGTAATGAATTAGAGATGTGAGATGGAAAACGTGGATGCTAGAGCCCCAGATACTATTGCAGCTATTAGTCTACTAATGACACAGATTTTACCTTGTGACTCAGTTCAGTAGGAATTGTCATTGTATGACATTGACCAGCATCAATTTAACAGCTGTATTTCTCTTAATTTCTTCAGGGAGAACATCCTTGGTCCTACAGTTTTGCTGACACTGACATTTTTCTAAGTGCTCTTGAATAGCTTTTTATGTAAATAACTGGCTAGACTTTGTATTTTTCACCACCGAATCCGATAATCTACAATTGCCAGAGACTTAAACACCCTGCTTTTAGGATATCATCTACGTTTACCCTCAGAGCTCTTCCTTTGTTGCAAAATGTTGAGATACTGGGGAGAGATACCAATCTCATCAAGCCAAACAAACAGAAGTTCCTTTGATTTGCTCCCACGGGAATTCCGTCTGGTGGAAGTCCATGATCCACCCCTGCACCAACCTTCAGCCAACAAGCCCAAGCCCCCCACTATGCTGGACATCCCCTCAGAGCCGTGCAGCCTCACCATCCATACCATTCAGTTGATCCAGCACAACCGACGTCTTCGCAACCTTATTGCCACAGCTCAGGCTCAGAATCAGCAGCAGACAGAAGGTGTAAAGACTGAAGAGAGTGAACCTCTTCCCTCCTGCCCTGGGTCACCTCCTCTCCCTGATGACCTCCTGCCTTTAGATTGTAAGAATCCCAATGCACCATTCCAGATTCGGCATAGTGACCCAGAGAGTGACTTTTATCGGTAAGGCAAGCATTTGCTATATCTTACTTTTCCCAAGTAATCTTCCCAACAACCCAGTTAAACCTGTAATAGCATTTTCATTTCCACACAAGGAAACAGGATAAGAGTAACTGACGTGGCCAAGGTTGCTCAGGTAATTAATGGGGAATCTAAGTCTAGAACCCTGATCTTTAGAATTCAGCCAGTTAAACCTGTAATAGCATTTTCATTTCCACACAAGGAAACAGGATAAGAGTAACTGACTTGGCCAAGGTTGCTCAGGTAATTAATGGGGAATCTAAGTCTAGAACCCTGATCTTTAGAATTCATGGTCTGTATTTTCAAATTTTCTGATGTAACAAATATTTATTGAGTGCCTACATGTGCCAAACACTTTACTAGGAGCAGGTAATACACTGGTATGTAAAAAAGGCCATGGCCTCATAGTCCTCAAAGTCCAGTCTTTCTAGTTAATGTAAAATGTATATTATGGTTTTAGTGTCTTCAAATTGGGATTCAGGGACTTATTCTGGAATTATTAGGAACCATAAGTCTATACAAAATTTTTAAATTATATATTTTCATATTGATAACATAGTTTAAGAAATAATAATATAAAAATGTTCTTGATCCTTGCTACTCAAAATCTGGTACAAGAGCAGCAACATCAATATCACCTGGGAGCTTATTAGAAATGCAGAATCTCGGGTCCCACTCAGACCTGCTGAATCAGAATCTGCATTTTATCAAGATCTCCAGGAGATTCATATATGCATTTAAATTTGAGAATCCCTCCTCAAGATCCTCTGAATGACTGTCTTATAATCTAGTGCTACAACTAAATTTCAGTGTGTAAGTTTGTATTAAATGCCAAATAATTACTTTTGTTTTCATTTTGAAATATGTTAAACCTACAGAGGTTTAAATAATAGGACAACAAACATCCAAATACCCTTCATCTGAATTTACTGGTGGTTTTCATTTACCACGTTTACTTTCTCATATATGTGTGTATGTGTGTATACACACAAGTATACAAACACATATACACACACAGTTTTTTGCAAAACATTTTAAAGTAAGTTGCAGATACCACAATATTTCACCCTAAATTCTTCAGCATGCATATTCTAAGAATAAGAAAATTTCATACATAATCACAATGCCATTGTCACACCAAAGTAAATGAACTTTAATTATTTAGTAAGTTCATATTCAGATTCCTCCATTGTCCTCAAAATATCTTTTATAGATATACTTTCCACCATCCAAGATTCATGCATTGCATCTGGTTGTTATGACTCTTTAGTGTGTTTACAAGTTCAAGTCATTTGTCTTGTAGAATATCTCACTGGATTTGCTGATAATTTCCTCAAGATTAGAGTCAGGTTAAATATGTTTGGCAAGATTCATTACATCTGCCTATTGGTAATAATAGTTAGTATTTTAATTGTTCCAAACTAATGAGTAAAGAACAGAAATGACTAAATATGTAAGGGTTGCAGTTGAGCCAGATGAAGGCCAGATGATGTCAAAGTGCATTGTGTAATCAAAGGTTCTAAAATCTGAAGTGAAGTGGGGAGGGATTACTGTCTTATTACATGTGTGGCACATGTGAGTATAGATATGCCCAACTCAAAAAACCTTGCTCCATAGCAATCAGTACCATATTCACATTATGAGGGCAATTTAGTTTCAACAAAATATCATCCATCATATTAAATTGATGCCATTATTTATAATATTGTAGATTTGCATCATATTCCTATTTTAATTTTTAATAAAAGCTATGATCATCAAAAGTTCATACCTCATTTTGTTTTATACATATTTAAGAAACTATATAACAATAATTTGCATCAGCTATGAGGGCGCCAAAAAATTATTTTCCTTTGAAAGCAGTCCATGTATTACTCAAGTAAAGTGATACTGGTTTCTCTGTATTTATTAGGTACTTCTAAGGCCGTTAGCCTTTGGCCCAGAGAGAGTAGCCATGGAAATGATTATGGAAATATTAAATGAAAAGTTACTTGGCAATTGGTTGTCTTTTTTTTCCAACTATTATCTGAATTGCAGTAGTTGCTACTGAACAGATAATAGTAAAGCGGATGGATAGCTCCTCAGGCACTATCGTACAGTACATGCCAAGTGTGGACCAAGGAGAAGTGATTTTTTTATGCTCTATTTTATTTTGATCTATAAAATAAATTACTTTGTCAAGAGGAGGCAGAAGCCAGATAGGAAGTTTATTAAAGCCTTCCTAGAAGTTATTTTTAGGAAATTAGACAGCTCTTTAAATTTTTCATGGAAAGATTAAGACTTCTGCAGTAGTGATTAGGGGAAAAATGGTAGTGATTAGGGAAAAAAGGGTTCGGATCCCACATGCAGACCGCCGCTCACTGGCTGAGCGAGGTGCAGGCGCAACACCGAGGGTTGTGGTCCCGTTGCCGGTCCCGGTCCGGTGCGGGTGCGACACTGAGGGTTGCGATCCGTTGCCGGTCACGAAAAAAGACAAAAAGGAAAAAAA